TATTTTAAGCAGCTACCCAGATTATGTTCTTGGGGAGAAGTTTAGTTAATACAAAATTAAACAAAAATGTTTTCTTTTCTTTTAAAGGTGTCTTCTGTCTTCTCTGCTGTGCTACTGCCCAACAGGAGAAAGGAAAAGCTTTGTTAGAAAGGATGGGTAAGAAGATGTGTGTAAAAAGACTTGGCTTTCATCAAGCATCCAAGGACTTAGCTAAGGGCGAGTTGCTGTGCATAGCATTGTAGGGTTTTCTTTGTCAGCCCTTCAAAGTGTTGTGATTTAAAGGAATAACACGGGGCACATATGCCTATAAATGGAAACTGGGATTGTAACGAATAAGGCTCGCCTCTGCCAATGCAAACAAGTGCAAGGCAGCTGGGCTCAGAGCAACGGGAACCGAGCGAAATCCAAGTCCGTTGACTCATTGCTTCACTTTAGTTTTAATTTCATTTGAAAGCTACATAAACACAGGCATCTTTTCATAACAAAGCCAGCCTGGAAGTATAAAGGTCTTCTGGGAAGCTCATCCTTTTCAACAGGATTATAGGAAAGGGACTGCCCCTCTCATTGCTGTCACTTGGTTTTCAAACTGCTGGAAGAGGTTCAATAAGTGGCAGCAAACTGTCCTAGGCTTTCTATGGAGCTGTTGTGAATTAGAGATGTGCACTGCAGTCCTATTCTCAAAAGTAAATCCCACATTATTCAGTGAAACTTACTGTCATGTAAGTGTGCATGGATGTGCATGGATCACAACCATAGAGTTGTTTTAAGATGTAATCCTGCACACATCTACCTCAGAGGAAAGGAGCTTCCAGATGAGCTTTTCATTCTGGTTTGTCTACAGGGACATTCGATGCCATTGGCTATCTAATGAGCATTCGCTCTGATTTATTTGCAGAACTCCCACACTTCGCAGTGCATTTACCATCACTTTCCATATTGCACAAAGTTTGATCATTTGGAGAAGCAGGTTTACTGCCCAAAGTCAGTAAGTCAGTTTCAACCTGATTTTGTCAACATGTATTTGAATCTCTCTCAGAAATAATGGCTGCCCATCCTCTTTCACATACACTCATGCAGGTACACACACACACACACACACACACCAGTCATCCATTCACACTCCATACAAAAGGGATGCCATTTTGGGATCTTTAAAAAATGGGGATTGTGAATCAAAGAGCTCTGTTCTTCCTGCACAAGTGAGAAGAGGACTTCTTTTAAAATTGTTCCTCTGGTCAGATCTGTGCTTTCGAGTTTGACTAACAATAAATTGCTGACAAATCCCTTATCCCAAAGGTTTGTCCACATCAGAGTTTACTTTGTGTTTGTAGCTCTTTGTGTTCACATTTAATGTGCATGATGCTACCTTCAAACTACACTGATCTCAATGTTTTCCCTCTGTCAAATTGGGTTTACACGATACAGAAATATCCAACAAACTAGGGGAAATCAGCCTCCAAAATGCTCCAATTGTCCAATTGTCACTTTCTGTTAATCCCCTTTCCATGCCCAATACTTCCTCTATGTGCCCTTTCTTTTCTGCCTATTCTCATAACTGTTTCTGGGGCACTCCTGAACAGAATAGAGGATTGTATGCACCTATCTGCAGAACTGGCATAATACAACCAATGAAGTAGAAGGTGGGAACAAACACAAAAGGGAAACATGGCTGGAAAAAAAAATGAAAAGCACCTTTCTGATTGCTGTGCAATACCTGGTGTAATCCCTCCCCCCCCAATATGCTTTGCTTGTGCAGTTTTCTGGCTTTGTGGAAATCTGATGGATCAAAACAATATGACTATGTTCCCCCATTCAGGAGCATGTCAGAAATAGTTATCAGCAAGGCCAGAAAAGAAATGAAACCACTAAGGAACCATGAATATGATAGAACCAAGTAGCTCCTCATATACAAATTCAAGTACATATGGGTGTGGAGTTCCCCAGTCTTATTCAAATGGGTGAGGGAATCGATTAACATCTAAAGAATTCTCCAGTGTGGACAAGCCCTTAGTTTCACCTCTGTAGTCTGATAACACAGCAGAGAAAGATAACAGCCATGAAAAGATTGATGATCTGATAGTGAATCAGTATACATTTCAGCTCCTCCTTCCCCAGTCTTCCTTTCTGCCCACCTTTCTTCTTCATTTTATTCATTGTCTGTGCAAAAACAATATCCCTGATTTGAAATGTTGCTTTCTTGACCATTTCATTACCAAACTCATATGGTAAAATGACCGCACAATCTTTCTCCTTTACACTCTGCCTGGAATCCTTATGCCTAGAACGGACTGCCCCCCCCATCAAGCCACCTCTCTCTCCTCCAGTCCACACTCAAAACTCTTAGCATTGTGGGGTTTTTTTTAAAGCTATAGCTCAGGTGTTATTTCCTAATACTGATCACACGGGCTCACTTGAATTTGCATTAGGGAAGCTCAACATCACCAAAGGGAACAAAAGCTGAGAGTGAAAGGGAACAAAAGCTGAGAGTGTTTCTTTTAGTTTCTCATTTTCCTTAAGTTCAGTTCTCCATATTTCCACATCAGTTCATGATTTCAAAAAATTGTTCCTGAAACATTATCAGCATCTTGTTGTGCATTTCTCTTAATAGAACCTTCTGGGATAAATTATTATTATTATTATTATTATTATTATTATTATTAGTTTCTTAAATTTCTATACTGAAGATCACAGGACCATTTATAATACATAAACACAAAACACACATTATACGTAATATACACATTTTCCCAAAGTAATTTCACCTGATATAAGATTCTTGTAAGTTATTTTCACTAATATATGCATTTATGTGCACACTTTACCCTTGTTTATGCATTTGTGAACAAACATTATTTTATATTACGAAATTCAAAGAAGTGCAAATATCAAAGGGTGCCTGTGTTTTGGATTGTGTGTTGGTTTTGGAAACAGTAAATTAGATAATTTCACCTTAAATGCAAACTGAATTAAATTTGCCCTCCCCCCATCCCTAGCTGGGGGAACCCCCAGAACAGATTAGGGGTGTGTACAGGGCATACACACATAAGGGACGCGGGTGGCGCTGTGGGTTAAACCACAGAGCCTAGGATCTGCTGATCAGAAGGTCGGCGGTTTGAATCCCTGCGACGGGGTGAGCTCCTGTTGCCCGGTCCCTGCTCCTGCCAACCTAGCAGTTCGAAAGCACATCAAAATGCAAGTAGATAAATAGGGACCGCTCCGGCGGGAAGGTAAACGGCGTTTCCGTGTGCTGCTCTGGTTCGCCAGAAGCGGCTTAGTCATGCTGGCCACATGACCCGGAAGCTGTCTGCAGACAAACGCTGGCTCCCTCGGCCTATAGAGCGAGATGAGCGTGCAACCCCAGAGTTGGTCAGGACTGGACCTAATGGTCAGGGGTTCCTTTACCTTTACCTTACAGGGCATACAAGGAGAGGAGAGGGGAGAGAGAGGAAGCTCCATTGCACAAGCTGAAGTCCTTGTGCTAATGGGACAACTTCATTGGATACAACCCAATGAATTGTTTAAAGTGATGACTTATGCTCAGGACTATTCCAGGCAGAAATGACTCCTGGTTCATTAAATTAATCAACCCAACACTAATTATCCCTAGTGGCAATTCTTAGTTTCTCAACAAGGGCAACATTTTGCAAAATTCTGGCCATTCCCAGTGCATAATTTGATTTCCACTTGAGGCTTTTGGTTTCCTAGCCGTTGGCTTATATTATTAGGTTACAGCTAACTGTGCTGGATGTTTTTCCTATAGCAGGGAGAAAGGACTTTGCGGTTACGATGTTACTGTGACCTGAATTTTGGGTTGGGAACATGTCGTCTATAAAAACAACCTTTTCATCTTCTGCTTTAGTCAGCACTGGTGTTGCCATCATGTATCCCGGGGCTCTGTTTTTATGCAGCATCTGCCAGTGCCATGGTCCTTTCAGTAACAAGTAACATTGTACTTGTAGGAGCCAACAACTTGGCATTTTATAAGTTCAGAGCCCTCAGTTGAGGTCTGTTCTCAGAAGAATAAGAAAAAGGGAGAGAGCTGCCAGTTGTCTCTACTGAGACAACTGCAACTGTCCCAAATGTAAACTCAACCAAAACTTTAGCTGGATTTTAGGAATCCTTTCCCCACAGATTCATTTCAGCTCAGATCACCTGGAACTCAAAAACATAACAGTACTTCCTTGATCAGGCCAAATGCCCAACATAGTCCAGCATCCTGCTCTCACAGTGGCCAACAAGATGCCCATGAAAGCCCACAATAAGGACCTGAGGGCAACGCACTCAGCCCAACACACGATTCCTATAAAAAGGCATACTGCCTCTGACAGTGGAGGAAGGACATAACCATCACTACAGTACATCTTGTAGGAGACAACTCCACAGGCTATCTATGTGCTGTGTGACGTATTTCCTTTTGTCCATCCCAAATCTTTCAACATTCAGCTTCATTAGGCGGCTCCAGGTTCTAGTCTTATGAAAGCAGGAGGAAAACTTCCAGGTGCACAGGTTGTTTTTGATCCAAATTGAACCTGGAGTGGGTCTCTGACTGCTACTTAGAGGCCTCTAGTCCCCAGCCTGATGACCCAATGACTTGCTATGGCAAACCTTCCCTCTCACCCACACCTCTTCCCATTTCTGCCTGCACAATGACACAGTGCTTTGCTTTCTCTCTTCTCATTCCTGCTCCCTGAACATAGGAAAACAGGATACTTGACAATAATAAAGGAGGGCGTTGTTGGTGGAATTGCATCCACATGCAACACAAGTTTCATCTGCTATGTCTATTTGCCATGTCTGCAACTTTTTTTGTAGATGGACCTGGTTCTTGTACCTTCAATGGTAGCTGACTTACACATGGAAATTAGTGTCAGGAGACTCCCTTAGCATGCAGCTGATTGAGACAAAAAACAGGAAAAGCTTCTCCTGTTAATATAAGTTCAGACTGTTTGTCCATCCAGCCCTGTATTGCCTACGATGACTGGCAGCTTCCTGATAATTTTTGCTAGAAATGCCCGGGATCTATCCTGAGATCTTTTGCATGAAAAGCAAATGCTCTGCCACTAAGTTATGGCCTCCTCCCAGCCTACATATCTGTGCATCAGCCTATTAAATCCATAGATATATAGAGCCAGAAAAAGAAGATGGCAATTCTACCATTCACTCAAAGGATATGAGTTTCCTTCCAAATGCCCAGTTTGAGTTCTGAGACCACATCTGCATAGAGAAGATGCTAAGGGTAATCCACATCAAGGCCCAGGAAGCCAATTTCGCAGAAGGAAAACAGGGTAGTTAGTGGGTTGAGGAGTGCGGGTACAGATGGTTATCCACATGGGGGCTTGTCATGTGGCAGTACCGCAGCATGTTGAAGACAAGGAGGTAAGGGAGTAATTGCCTCTGCAAGGAGATGCGGGATGCTTTGAATTGTGTCTGCAATTTGGCAGGTGTCCAAGACAGTACGCTTGGTATTTTAGATTAAGTTGGAGGACAGGAGGGAGGGTGGGTGAAGATGGGCATGTATGATAAAATAGGAAATCATTCAGGGCGTCAAAGTCCAGAACAGACTGACGAGATGCTGAAATGGTGTGCAAAAGTAGGTACTTGGAGGATGGAACAAGAGAAGTGGGTGGTTGTGTGGCAATACAGTCATAGACATACAGGCAGAGGGCCAAATTAAAGGTTATGCTGCAGTTGCTGAAGGCTGCCCGATATGACTGCTCCCTTGCAAAACGCACTTGGAAGGGGACAAGGAGAAATTTGCAGTGGAGAAGGGTGTGAGGGGAAGCACTTAACCCTTTTCCTGCCAGCCTATTCCCTCCTGAAACTCCTGCCCTCCCATCTGTGTTCCTCCTCGCCGGCTTCCAAACCTGCATTTGCCACAGAAATCCCAATGTGCACATGTAAGCTCTGCCCATGGCCTTCTGACTCCCACTCAAAATGATTCAAATATTTCCATGTCTATATCATTCATATTGTAAGTTATGAAGCACAACACTAAGACGTTTCTCATTTGAAAATCAGAAACATTTCGTTGGGCTGAACAAGTTGCTAGTTTACGGCTGCAATCCTATACACATTTAGCTAGGAGTCAGCCCCAGTGAATCCGTGCAGCTTATTTCTAGGCATACCTGCACACCTCCAATGCCCTTCCTTTTAAGATCTGTGTTAAAATGAAGTGAAAGGAACCACAGAAACTTCTGTCCTTTTCATCTGTGCCATTTGTGAGTGTTGGGATGGGCATTTTGCCAATCTGAATTACAACATTTATTTGAAATTTTAGTTTCCATTTGGACCCTCTTCCATTTGGCATAGTACTTCTTGTCGCTAAATACCCCACATAAAAATCTGAGAAACATTCATGTTTGGGATTCACCCCAGATTTAAACACGAATACCTCCTGGGTTAATTTTATAATAGCAGAAAGAAACTGTGAACAATGCTCTGGAAAGAGAAGAATTGAGCCACGTTCAATGAAACCCACAGAGAGGATTTAGGCAGACAAACACTGCTTTCCAGGAACTGTGACTGTTAAGCTGCTACAGAATGTTTGAAGCTGCACCATATAGCTTCCCAGACAATTCCTGCTTTAGTGTTGAGAAAGAAGAACAGTCCCTGATAGATTTTTCATGGATCACCTTAAATCAGGACCCCACCCCCAAACTTCTCAATTTTGGCCTCTCCCATTGCCCTTTTTATTGAGCATTCATGATTATTTGTGCTCATGATACTATTGAGACAGTCCTATCTATGCAATCCTGTTTTGCACCTGCAGAAGTTTGGGGCAGCCAGTGCACATCTTACCACTTTCTGCTGAAATCCTGAAAATGTTCTAGTACTGCAAATGTTCTGGTTTATTTCTGTCCCCCATTTGTTGCGTTATAACCTCTACGGACAGCAGTCACGTAGCTGCTTCCCTTTTCTGTCACTGCAACATGCTGGATACTTTTAGCAAACATTTGGTGTACACGTCAGTCCTCCTCTGCAGTTCTTAATATGGGCATGTCTTATAAGCTCTCAAGGTTTACAGCTCTGACAAACGCTTCAACAGGGACTCGGTAATGCTCACTGATTGATACCTCCTGCTTCCTTTTCTCATGCTGCATTCCACTTTCTCTCCATATAGTCTCTCTGGGGCTCATAAGCCAAGCTTTAGTGGGAGAAAACACTTTGGGGCAATCAGGGGATGGGAAACCTCAAGCCCAGGGGGGGTGAATGTGGCCCTCCAGACCTCTCTATCTAGCCCTTGGGGCTCACTCCAGGCTGTGTTCCCTCCCTGGGCTACGCACCTCATCTTCCCTGTTTCATACCCCTCTGCCTAACTGGAATGTTTCCTTGAACTGTGACCATCTCTCTTGCTTACCTAGACAGACAACAGAGATGTGTGGGTGTGTATAGAAACCTCTGGATCGCAGCCTGTCATGCCAACTCACATCAGTTGCTCTGCCCACTTTTGCCTCTGGCTCCGGCTCACTTTTTGCCCCGGCATGTCGTCTCTGGAAGGCTGCTTATGTGGCAATGCAGCCTTTTGGGCTGGAAAACTGTCCAGGGGAAAACTGTTCCAGGTTGTTTTCATGCTGAACTCTTGTTGTGGGCTCAGGCGTGTATTTAGGGGTTGGTTAAATTGGCCCCTGCCAAGGGTGCAGGCCAGGACGGCTCAGAGTGGCTAGGACCCCATCCACACACTCCCTGGGCCATTCCTCTACACAACCTTGCCAAGGGCACAAGAGAGGGTGGAGGCATCAATACAGCTCCTTGCCAAGGGCATAAGGGAGCCGAGGTATGCCTCTGCATGGGCTGACTGCAGACTGTGGCATGCGTGATGTCTAAAGCAGCAGTCTATACATGGCTAGAGGGGCAGCCACGTTGAAAGCAGCACAAAGAGTAGGCCACACAGAGGATCCCTAACAACAATGTTAGCAAGCAAACAAACCACGCAACAGGCTGCTGCTTATAATGCAGAACTGCCACTAATGTGCACACTGGCTGTGAAGTGACTTGGCGGATCCTGATATGGCAAGCCAGGAGATCCAATACACTACAGATGTCATGCCACCTTTCTCTCTTGCGACATACCCACTTTCTGACTCAGCTACAGTAATGTACACTACTTCCCATACTTAAACTCGAAATGGCACCTTTCCTCAGAAGGAAGTAGCCCAGAAATCTATGTGGTTACTTGTGGGCAAACGTGGTTAGGATTGGACTGTGATTCACTCTTATCCAGTCATCATGCATTTTGTTATGGCTCTTTGAACGTATTCATCATTTTTGCTCCTTGGGTGTCATTTTAGATTTAAATATATGTAGACCACTGAGCACCCTTTCGCTCCCTCCCACTTTATTCTTTTTTAAAGCTCCTAAGTCCTAATATCTCAGAACGATAAACCCATCAAGATCAGTACATTCTCATCATTCCTCCAGCAGCCAGACTTATCTACATTATATACTGTATCTGTCTTTTTTCTAATATGAGATACTTTATTATTATTATCATACTTGGCCAATGGCACAGTATGTCTGAGAGAAAAGAGTGGGGATTTCCCACATGGGCAATCAGTTAATGAATTGATGCCTGCATGTTTGTGCATAGTGCTTTAAGCTCCCAGTGTCTCCTGTAAGTGCTAATTATTAACATGACTTGGGACCCCAAGGCATGAAACCTGATTACCCCTATCTTATAACAACAGAGCAGCTACTCTGCAAGCCTTGTTACTGGTCATAAAATTATCTAGACAGCTTTAAATGTGCCTTTGCACTACTGAACTCTAACATCTGCTGCACTGCAAGTCAGTCAACCACACCCCGGGAGAAGAGGACTGTCTCAGAGTTTAAGAGGAGTTTGTTTTAATGAGTTGCAGATTTGTAGTGCAAAATCTGGTGGAAGGATCAAACTGAGAACCAGGGCTTTCGTTACAATTGGTAAGTTTCTAGCCCTCTTGGTTGACGATAGAGAGTAGCCACTTTATTGAGAGTGTGAGATACAAAATAGGAAAAAAGTAGCCTTGTGAATTGGATCAATTTCTGTTGTTAAATTACTGAGCGTAGTTTCAGATTACACATAATCATGGGCAGAAGGAATGGAGCAGTAATAACATTCTCATTTATAGATACAATAAAGTTCAATAATTTCAGTCACTTGAGGATGATTGTGGAACAATCACAAAAAAATAAGATATCAAATGAATATTTTTTTAAAAAATACTTTATTGAAACAATACTTTAAAAACAAACAAACAACAAACAAACAAACAAACAAACAAACAAACAAACAAACAAACAATATTTGGGCAATTTGACATTGGTACATTAGTACATTAGCCAGAGGATTAGCTATTTACCCAGTAGTACTGGTAGGAGAAATACTCATTTATATATGTAACATGTCAGTAAAAAAAAAATCACGTATCTGGTGCTTGCCAGCACCACAATAACATTGATTAAAGTCATGAATCTTCATGAATTTTTATGGTGGTGTTTTGTTTTTAAATAGGATGACAAAAAAATCACCAACAAATCACTGAACACATCTGTGAACTCATAAATGATCCTATGAGTTGTTGGAGTTTTGAAGGGATTCCTTGTAAAAATTAAGAGGCTCCATAAGGATTTGTCCTTCAAATCCATGTTTTTATGCCATGGTGGTGCTGGGAAGCATGAGATCCATTATTTTTTAAGGCTCAGGGCTAAGATCACAATTTGCGTTCATCCAGAGGTGGTGTGTCCTGTTTTTGCTCCCTGTGGTGAAACAGGAAGGTACCACCTCACTCCTGCCGAAGCCTCCTTTACCTGTGTTGTGAGCTCTCATTAGAACCCACAGAGTTCTTGCAACATCACACAGAATGCCTGAGATCTCATGAGATTTTGGTGAGATCTTACAGGAACTTGCTGGAAGTTGCTGGGAGAGGCAGTAGGGTGGGTAGAACACCTGCAGGGGCATCACCTCTTGGCATTACACTGCTTGAGGTGGCTGCCTCATTCTGCCTTATGGGCAAGCCAGCCCTGGCCTCACCTCTGAAAGTAGGGGGAACCAAAGTAGGGACTCCAATGAGGATCTTCCTTTGTGGACAGGGCAGCTTCATGAGATAGAACTCCACAATGCACCTGCAGGCATCTTGTGACTCTCTTATCTGCCTAACTTACCAGATTCGGCAAATAACTTTGTACATAAAATGGCTCAAGTGACAGCATATTGTTTGGGTCATGGTAGGAGATTGCAGGAATTGTTGAATGCTGTCAGTTGGAACTGTGAATTTGAGTGAAGACTTTTTTTGGAAGAGATTATCCGAGGAAGAAGTTCAAAAATTGCAAGAAGTCAGAGAACCCTATTGTTTGCAGCACTTTTGCAAGCAACTGAACTAAGGACTTGGCTGTGGACTTTAGAACAGCAAGAACTTTGAAGCACAGAACCCTCTCTGGGCTCAGAGAGAGAAGACTACTTGTAACATCTGAAAAGAGTGTTATTTTGTATAGTGGTGTGTGTTAGTGTTGGTCTAGTAAAGGCAATTCTGCTAAAACACTGTTTTCTGTAGTGAGTTTAACTCAGGCATAGGCAAACTCAGCCCTCCAGATGTTTTGGGACTACAACTCCCATCAACCCTAGCTAATAGGACCAGTGGTCAGGGATGATGGGAGTTGTAGTCCCAAAACATCTGGAGGGCCGAGTTTGCCTATGCCTGGTTTAACTACTTGATTGAGCTTCTGCGGCTCATACACCCAATGCCTAAACAAGATTTCCAGCAGAAAAGCTTTATCTCTACTTTTAATTCTTTTCAGAACCTTCTTTCTATCTGTGGGACTACCTCAGCCCACACATTTCTTCTCTGGGCTTTTGACCTGGTGAACACATGCTCAAGGTCTGGATTGGGATACAGTTGCCTACACCTTGGCCCAATCCTGACACTTTCTCATTTTTTAACTCCCCGTTTTATATAAGCATGTATTTTCAGGATATTATGATTGAGTAAATGACACTGACAATAGGTTTGCATAGAGGCAAACATTCTCTGAGAAATCAATTGTTTCATACTGGTCAAATTCCTCTTGGATTTACCTAAAGTCCAGTTTGCAATAAGGAATAGCTATTGGTGAGTCTAGTCATAGCCTGTTTATCTCCTCCTCCTGAGGAAATTTGTCCCACCCATTCAGAGCAGAAACAGGCAGCTCTCCTTGCCTGCCTGCAACATGAGGGAATTGGGTTGTGAGAAGAAGGGTCTAAACACTTTGCATTTATTAACTCTTTCTCTTTCTCCTGTCCTTCACAAGAGCACAGTAGCTGTCATGCTCAGCTGTAAATGACATATTGAGTTTGCTATCTATGCTCCGAGTTAGCATAGAAAATTTATATAAAACATGATTCTCATAGGTGCAGTAGTGTCCTTTGGTATGTGTACAAGGCTTCACCACACATACTGATTAAAGGCTGATTATGTCACCTGAAATTACATAGGAAGGTGCTTATTCCAAGTCAGAACATTGGTCAGTTTGCTCATTATAGTCTACGGATTGACAGTGGCTCTGAAGGGAATCCCCCCCCCCCCCGCCGCCTTATGTCAGGGACTGAACCTGAGACTTTAGCATACAAAGCATATACTTCCATTGTACTTGACTACAACCCTTCTCCAGCCACTGTAATGGACTTGTTGTAATATACCATAGCACACCATCCAAAAACAGCTATATGTTTCTGGATAGGGGCCTTACCTCTTACTATGCCTTTGGACATGCATCTGATCCCTGTAGTTTGCCCCAGAGATTTCATCTATCTGCAAGACTAGTTGCATAAGTAGATTGCACATTCAATGTGCAGTGGACCTGTGGCTTATTCATAGAGAAGAATGCTTATCTAATACGAAGGAAATAGAGCACATGTACCACATCCCCCAAATCAATTTCTTTGGTGCATTTCAATTCTTTGGGAGTCTCCAAAGGAGATACACAACGTTGCCAGCTGGCAATGCCCCTTAATAATATTCAAATATAGTCTATGTAGCTGGCCTAGAAACAAAAAATCACAAAAGACAGATGTGCAGATTAGCTGTTTGCAGATCATCACTAGTGCTGGCTAAGATGTGACTCACCTGTCTCAGTCATCCTTTACATCAAAGGAGTTTTCATAGGACTTTTCTTTTGAAAAGCATGTAAGAATTGATTGTGCATATAAAGACCCATATAAATTTCCCTCTCGTGCTGTTTTGAAGGGTGGTCCAACCTTCTGGAGAAGTTTTGAGTTTCCATCCTCATTCCACTGATGGAAATGGAGGTCTTCACTAGATTAAAGAGCCTTCCTTCAGTAAAAGGACAACTTCTGCCAGTGGAAGACTAGAAGTGGATATAACCCAATTATTGTAAAATAATAATAATTAAAGAGTGGGGAGTGTCTGAATACAATTTCATGAAGTCCACAGTTACAGCTCCCAACCAGCAAATATTAGCACCTGTTTAAGACAATGGCATGACCTACTCATGGCTAATGTAAGGACACAAGAAGAGCTTTGCTGGGTCAAAGTCAGGTGGTCCTTCCTGCTAGTCAAACAACCTGTTTCTAATGATGGCCAGCATACATGTAGGGGATGAAGGCAACATTCCCTCTCTGATTGCTTATTCCCAAGCAACTAGTATTGCCTCTGACTGTTGCATTTCCATTTAGCTACTATAACTAACAGTGCATCTTATTGATTTCATAAGTACATAGGAATGACTGATTTGCTCTGGACTGATCCATTTCCTAGGGTAAGGATATAAGAGTAGGAAGATTTTGGGGGGTGGGGAGAGAATGCTTGCATTTCCTGGCAGTCTTTGTGAACAGCCTATATGTTATCCTTGGTCTTAACTTGGGACAGATCCATTTCTAGCGCCTTATAAATTTTAACTGGGTGTGGATGGAAAGATGCCCTTCTGGGAATGCAGATTCAAAGTTCCTCAGTTCCTCAGTTCCCATGGAAACTGGCTTGGGAATGATTGATGAGGCCACAATATGAAGGGGGGAATCATAGATCCACCTACAGTATTTTCATGCATTTCCTCCTCAACTCCAGGGTGTGTTTCAAATAGGTAGATACTGACATTAAGACTATGCTGACCTCCAAACAATGGTTCCCCCCATAAAGACCCAGGCATATCTTAGAACAGGCCTGTCCAACCGGTTAATTGCGATCTACTGGTCAATCGTGGGCTGTCCCTGGTGGATCCTGGTTGATTACGTGATCTCCTCTGATCGACCCCCCCAAGCTCAGTCCGATGAGTAGATCATTGGTCAATCCAATGAGTAGATCACTGCCAGTTTGTTTATAGTGGGAATAGATCACAGTCTCTTGGAAGTTGGACACCCCTGTCTTAGAACATTCAGGCAACAACATCCCCATGCCATATTTTGCTTTATAGCAACAGAGCAGATATTTCACTGCTCTACCCATTTTATAGACCGGGGGAAAATGAGGCTGAGGCACTGTCCAAAGCCTCTGGTGAATCCATCAGTAAAGTTGTGTTGTTCCTTTTCATTCTTGGTAGGGCTGCTGCTATTTGAGATGGCACTTTAGCAAGATAGCTTGCAGGTGAAGCTTTACTAAGCACAGAGATTCAATGACAGGTAAGTGTCACCTGCTGCATTTCTGCTTGTGTCATAAGCACAAGATAACTACAAGGTTGTTGTTGTTTTTATTTGGAGCCAATCTCCCGAGTCCCATTCAAGTAGTGTGTTCATTGCACAACATTGGGTTGTGCGTCAAGATTGGGGGAGGGAGTGTACAAAGACGAGGTACAGCAACTATCACTTTTATTTATGACTCTTAAGTTGATTCCAAGCGAGATTCCAGCCCAGTAGAAAAATGCAGAGAATTGAGAGCATCTTTGACTTAATGGACGTCTTACATTTCACTCTTCCCCTATCTGATATAGGATTGTCACAGGCAAGCCTTAATGGATTTTCCATTCTGTGAATTTTATCTTTCTTCTCTTTCCTTCTTGCTTTCCTTCCTTCACCATGACTGTAAGATGCTTTATTTATGAATGCCTGAGTTCATAAATGTCAGCATTTCCGTTGCAGTGCTCCAGGATGTTGGCTCTCGCCTCTGCCTGTGGAATCAATTCTGCCTTATCGGATTCATCTCATACACGGACTCTGTGACCGAGAGACATTGGATCCGGCAGTGGTACTTCATCTGCATCAACAATTGCTTATCTCTTTGGGTAATCTCTGAAGGAGTCTTCTCTGCAGTGGAATGGCTTATTTAATTATTAGTATGATTTCGATCTTATATTGGGGGAGGGGGTGTCTGTGCGTGTGCAGATATTTATGTTTCAGGAGTGTCTTTCAGAGCCTGTGAAGAATCTAAAAAGCATCTATGGTGGGAGAAAATAAGTTTTAAGATGATATTCTCAAAGGTGCAGCCTGAAGTTTGTACTGGATTGCCCTAGTGGTAAAATGCTGCGATTAGTTTCTGATTATATAAGTTCTACCCAGTGCTGTTTTGGAAAGCGGGGGAGACGGACCTGTAGCCCACCCAGCAGGTCTCTCCATCCACACACACCCTGGCACTATTCCCATTGCGTGCATACACACACACATTCCCTCAGGTCATACTCCTTCTCACCCCTTGCCTCTGAACCAGGATGGGTCATTTTTATCCCTTGCCACAGCATGCTAGGCAGGGAGGTTTAAATCTCTGTGCCCAGGGTGCCATGATGGAAGTGAACATCACTGCCTCTTCACCTGATTTGCCCCAACCAGGGAAGGAGAGAGTGTGATCAGGGGAGAGAAAGGATGAGGTATGTGTCTAACAATGGCAAGTGTGTAGGATTATGCCAAGTGTCTTTGTGTGTCTGTATACAAATGAGTGAAAGATGCAAATTAAATGCAGCTCTCACAGTTTGGACACATTCGCACAGTTCTGAACCATTTGCTTGCCTTTGTTGTAGCCATTAATTGGATGGCTTGTGCCTCCATTCTCTGTAACCCTAAACCACTGTGCCCATCACAAGAGGCAGAAATTAAGACATGGAGTTCATTGCCTCCCCCCCCCCCCCATTCTCGCCATCACTGCATCTCCATACTAGGGAAAGCTGTGTCCTTTGAATTTCTGCCTGTTGGATAGCTGTGAAAAATACAGAAGTGGTTCTGCAAAAGAACAAACGGACAAGATGTCAGTTATACCCTGTTAAATTAATGTTTAAAATCAGGGCACTGAAGCCCATCCCAGGCTTAATTACTTATATTCTTTGTTTACTTTTGCTGAGATAAGAAATGTAGATAGTGATATTTCTTTCAGAGATGAATCAGTACGAAAATATTTTCCCCCTTGTGTTGCATATGTGTCATCATGATTCAAGTCTTCAGAATCCCTCTTTCCTCATCTCCTGTTGCTGAAACATTGCCAATTTTTGATGTGATGTTTCCCAGAAAAAGGCTCAGAGAATACTGGTTTTTCCCAGATGGCCTGCCTCCCTTTTTATACTTTTCCTTTCTGTATATTCAGAAGGAATAAAAGTTTACAGTCATGAGATTTCATAGATCCTGTGCTTTGTGATTGTGAGATTATCTCAAATCACTTGCTCCCAAGATGGCCTGGCTGGGACTATTTCAAAAATCCTCATCTTTTTATGTTATTCACTGTATACTCAGTAGGATAAGAGAGCTCTCTGGGATGAATAACTACAGTGGAACTGTAGTTTACCCCCCACATAACTAGCATTCCCAGCACTATATTTCCCAGGATTCCTTTTTGGGGGGTGGGTGGCAGCATGATTTAAATATGCTTTGGATGTATGGGGTGTACTCCGTCTGCCCACCTCCCTTATCCCCTCTCTTGTTCCCAAGCATGCACAAAAGTTACCTTAAATCTCTGGTTCAGGCTTCCTTGTCTTTGACTTGAATTCTTGACCCAGACCCATTATTACTATCAGTTCTGTTTCCTGGTGGGATACATTAACTTTTTGCCTCTGCTCCAGAACATCTCTGGTCATTACCCCTGGATTTCTCCTCTGAAACCTTTTAGGTGCATTCCTGACTTAGGACCATAGATGTCAACTCCCTGGGGCCATGAGCACCCACAAAATTCCCCATGAAGGGGCTGGGCACCCACAAATTTCAGGGCCAGGGCCATGCACACTGCATGGCACCCACAGTTGTGGGGCCAAGCTGGCACTCTTGCTCGGGACTTTATAATCGGGACACTTTTTCTACTAGATTGCATACATTTTATGCTAGTTTTTAACTGTCTTGAGTTTCCCCAAATAATCCTGTGTATTGCTATCTGGTACTGGAGCTGAAGATGGCCAGTTAAGAGATCCTAGCCTCTTCTCACACAACTTTTCTGAGATGAGAGAATGACTACAAAACCTTTACAAGTCTGTAGTGTAACAATGCCCCAATATTTTCAGTTGGGTGTGCTACACCTTTACAGCAACTTGCCAGCCTGCTGAGGTGGTGTAAGGACAATGTGTAATTCAGGCTAGGGGCTGAACTCCACGTTGCAGTAAATGAGTAGATGCAGCTGAAATGGGAAAACTGCACACATATACCCCAATAGCATGCAGTAGAACAGAGCTGGCCAATCCGTAGCCCTCCTGAGGTTGTTAGATTTCCAATTCCCAACAGCCCCCAGCCAGCAGGGACAATGGTTAGAGAGGACAGGTGCTGCAGTCCAAAAATCTCTGGGGAGCTGCAGCTGTTCACTCCTGCAGTAGAACTTAGCTCATGTCATGAGGTCATGAGGTCACCCATTATTTTCACCCCCATTCCGTATCATTGGCTATTACATCACACTGCGGCTCAGTGAGTTCCGCATACTCAAGAGGACATTGGGCTGGTATTTCTTAATCAGGAGAATCACTTTTCCCATGTCAAATTGCTTTTAAACTTGAGAAGGACCTCCAAAAGTAGACAGTGATGTGGCATTAGGGAATTTGCTGCTCAAAGGAAGGAAAGCCAAATGTCCCTGTGGTCACACCCAAGTTAGGTTCTTCTAGATGTTGCAGAGAGGGAAATGAGAACTCAATGTACATTCAGGGATGCATGAGGAATAAGATTTCTTTGACTTCAGGTATGAACCAACCCAATATGTACCTTCTAGGCTAAGGTAAGCATCAAAACAGAATTTATCCTTCAGATTTTAAACTTTTTTCAAATTTTGCAATACAACTCTTGGCTCAGAAAAAGCATACCAAAAATACATTATAAATTGTTATTTTTAGAATAAACGATTTTTAGATAAAATACATCAAAGTTAACTGTGTATTTAAAGTGTTTTGTGAAAAGATACTGTGTTTGTTTATTTAAAAAGCATTTCTGAGCCTCTTATTACTCAAAAACATCTATAAATAGTATAAATCTGCAGCCAAGGCAGAAAATGTATGTCATCTCAGTTTTGTGATAAAAGAAGTATTTAAATTCATATGTAAATTCAAATGTGCACCCAGAGTTGTTTTAAAACTGTGTTAATGCAGAAATGGAATGGAAAGGATTTATGGCCCTTTCCTGCTCCGATTCTATGATTTTATGAATGAATTTATGCAAAATTGACAAGGGCCAGAAATAATCTCATCCACCCAATCCTATGTGCAGCTACAATTTTCAAGCATTCAGTGCACATTTAGTGTAACTTCCAGCTTCGCCCAAATCATGTGGACCAAGTTAAGCCATAAGGGTTTCCACCTGCTGAAGATCCATCCCGATGAAAGCAAGCATCAGACGATATTCTCCTAAAGTGAAGTAGCTCCAGAGATTGCCACAAGGCTCAGAATAGAACAGAGAGAAGCAGCTTGCTAGGTATGTCGCTACTGCATACTGGGAGGCAGAGCGGCGAGGCAGCAGGGAGATTAGCACAGTAGAGCAGGAGTACTGATTAGCTCTGCCAGTATGTTTGCACCATGCTGACCTCCATTCCACCTCATCTCTCACTCTCTGGTTGAGCAACAGTGACCACCTGCTAGGAAGCTAGTGTAGTAGTGGCTCCATCACACCAAGAGAGCCACTTCTGGGAGGAGGTCTAACAAGGGAAGTCTGTGGCAAAAGCCCTCCCACTACCCTAATATTAATTCCCACAGAGCCCAAAGGCAGGTAGCTTCCTGTTTTACTTGTCCCCCGTCCCCCCCGCTAGGTCATCATGTTTATTTTCTTGTTTTCCTTGCTTGGGTTAACAGAGTTTTGTGTTTCTGGTCTTAATTATTCCTCTTATTCCCCATATGTCATCATCAGTGCTAGAAGGGTTTTAAAACACATCTGTTAATAGCGGTTGTGGGTGGAAACACAGCAGAGTGGCTAAGCTCAAGGTGTTACATGATCAGCTTTCTCCTATGTGTCGTTAATGGAGGAGCTTCCTTCCAGCTTGTGCATTGTTCCAGGTCTGATTGCTGATTCCATTAACCAATCTTCTTCTTTGGCGATCACTCGTAGCCGAGTAAGATTGTCTTCCATAAACCCGGTTTTAACAATGAGTCCATAAGTGACTGCAGAGGCCAATTCTGGATCCACACATCCTTCCATATTGGGGACATTGGTTTCCGGGTGGGAATTGATCACGGTGTGGATTTGCCAGGCGTGCCTTCCTCTTAGCACATTTCTCCCTTGCGTCCTGAGTTCGAGTGTCTTCAAAGCCCACGACCCCTTTGGTAAAGGCTGTTCTCCAACTGGAGCGCTCACAGGCCAGTGTTTCCCAGTTGTCAGTGTTTATACTACATTTTTTTACACTCGTTTCAGGAAGGATTAGACATGGAGGATAAGGCTATCAATGGGTACTAGGCACAATGGCTAAATTAAACCTCCAGCATTAGAAGTGCTTTGTCTCCGAGGCCACATCTAAACTATACATATATATCAGTGTCACACTATTTTAAACAGCCACAGACTTCTTCCAAAGAATGCCAAGAACTGTAGTTTGTTAAAGGTGCTGAGATTTGTTAGGAGACCACAGTAACCCTCTCAGAGCTACAATTCTCAGCGGGGTTTAGCAGTCAATCCGTTTCCCCAGGCAACTCTGGGAATTGCTGATTACATGAAAACATCTGATTACAGTGCTCCAAATACTCTACATCTGTAAAGTGGCCTAAATTAAGCAACTGGTATAATAGCACCTGGTCCTAGCTAGTACCACTGACTCCAGATCTGCATTAGAAATGCACAGCCATAACTCCCTGTCCTTTCTGCTTTTCTCCTCTCCTCCACAATAAAACAAAGTTCTGTTGAAGTCCGATTAGGGAGACTCCACTGCACAAACTGTAATTTACAGAATATATATATATATATATATATATATATATATATATATATGAATGAGAAACCAAACCCTTGCCAAGACTTTTATGGGTACCACTTTAGATGATCGAGCCAATGCTGTATTTGTTCAGTCAAGGACATTAAATTCTGCTGAACAAATGGGTGGATTGTAGTGGAGTCTGATGTATTCCAGGGAATGAGAAGCTATAATATTGTTCACTTAAACAGAGGGGAGAAAACCATTTAGTCTGTATTTCTTGATTTGTTTAAAAAAAGGAATATTGTAGATATGGGGGATTCTCAACCACACTCATCCAAAAGAGGTACACCCAACAGTCTAAGGGCCAAACCAGCAATGACATTAATATTATACATAATATGCCTGTCTTTCATTTGAAATCTGTATCGCTTGAAAAGCAACAATTAAAAGACGGAAGAATTTCAGCCACCACAAGGGGTATAGGAAATGCATGCTGAGCTTTAAATGGTCCCACCCACAGCAGCTTTGCTGCAGTCACTGGGGTAAATGGGATGAGGGACACGAAAATCTACAATTAAATCCCTATTTATAACAAAAATTGTACTTAAATTATTTTATCATAAAAATATGCATTTAAAAACTCATTTTGTTCCATTTCTTGAGCCAAGAACTGTATCACCAAATCCAGAGAATCTGAAGGGTAATTAAGTTCTAATCCACATATTTGTCCCATATTTGTCCCATTTCCCAAGCACTACTGCTTTCATAGGAGGTTAAGCATTGTGACATACTTTCTCTTCATTATTACTTTTGGTCACAGTCCATAGAGAAGGAGGATGGTTTGCAGTATCAGCAGCCCAGCAATTTGAGCATAGCCAAGGGGCCTGCTGGGAAGTTCTGCATTTTGCTTAAGGGCACTGGGTTCACTTGGGATACCAGAAATTCAGCTGTCCAAAGGCTCATACCCCTCCTGTTGATACTAGTATGAGGACAGCTGAGAGAATGCTGGCAGCAACATTGACAGTGGAGGAAGTCATGTTTCTTGTTGTAGCTCCCCAAAAGAGTTTCCGGCATCCTATCAAAATGAGGTGGGTGGGATTTCTGTTACCATTATCTTCCAGCAAGCAGTCTCCTTGTGATGTAGCTTGATACAAATGGTGATGGAATAGACTGATGCCTGTCGCTGCTCTATTTTGCACTTAACTGGTGCTATGCATCCATAGCTCACACACAGAATTCTGTTTGGGTTTCTTGTGGTCCACTTGAGTTCATCTCTAACTAGGCAGCCCCGACTCTCTGTCTCTGTATCTCTTGCTCTCTCTTATTTGCAATTTGTTAACGTTTCTGCTAGGTGTTTTGTTTTCCCCCCTAGAATTCCAAGGTTTCAGAGTATAGAGGTTCCTTCCACACCATTGGAAGGTGGAACAGTTAGGCATGCTGTTCTTGTGCATTGCCTATCAAAACAATTACCTGTAAGCTCAGAACATGACTGTCCTCCAGTCAGGTGTGCTGGATATATGGGGTGCAAGGGGCTTCAGCCCCTTCAATATTTTGAGGCAGGGGTGCAGCCCCCCAATATTCAGAGGGCTGCTATCCCCTGCTGCATTGGGTGAGTACCATTGTGCTGGGTGGGAGGCTTGGAGAGCTTCCCAGTAGGTGTGGCCCGATGGGGGATGGGGTGTCACACGTGTGATGCACACATGACAGCCCCCCCATGTGGGGCCCAACTCTGCATGCCTGCATCTAGTAGCCCAAAAACAAGCATATTAGAAATAGTGATGGTGGTGAGAAGAAGAGACCATGGAGAGGAGGAGAAAAGACTGCAAAGTCACATCATATAGAGAGGCAGGCATGCTGGCATGAATGAAAATAACCATGAATCTTGGGGGAAATAAGTGGAATAAAAAGAAGTAGGAGGAACAGTTTGACAAGCTGGCTGGAAAAATAAATGCAAAAATGCCACTATAAGGCTACACCATCTGATTGTACCCTCTCTCTCATAGATGCTATTTTCAATACAGCTTGTATTATCCGACTAAAACTGGATGTTCTATTTTCTGATATGCATAATGGAATTTGTGGGTTTGTTTTGCAAATGAAAGAACTCAGTGCTTGCTATGAATATATTTCAATTTGTGTAGGCAGCTCTGGGCAGCTTATGATTTGCATGGAACATAATGAAACACACATAAATAACATCAACCAACTTCACCTTCTATCCAGCTGACTTTGTATCAACACATCTCAAGGTGTTTTACAGAGTGTTCAAGCACTTTGTCAACAGTCTTCAGAGCAGCTGTGATGGCGGGGAAGAAAAAGTGAAGTTAATTGAATTTAACAACAGTCAAACTCCTGGAATACTGAATATCAAATTCCAGAATGTAGAGGTCAAATTAACTATTCTGTGCTCAGTATGCTCCTGTGGAAACATGTAAGGACAGTGCTGGACTGATTTAAAAGACCTAATTTGAAGTTAGAGGGTAACTCCAGTAGTTAGAGGGAAGATGTCTAGACAAAGCTCATGATCTTCACCCATTCACCTGCTATTCCATCTAAGTGTATCTTTCCAGGACTGGTTCATACTTTGCCCAATAAGACAAGTTTTACATGCAGTTGGTGAGAGCTTTTTACAAGGCTGAGCTGTAGTTGGCTATCGGACATGGGCCAGAAGCCAAGCTAGGAAATCAAAGGTCAGGACCAAAAGCTCAAGCTAGGAGTCAGAGTCACAGACCAAGGCCAGGAATCAGGACCAAGGAACCAAGTTTAGGAGGAATGTACAGAAGCTCACGAGAGCCAGGATGACGTTTTGCTCAGGCAATCCTAGCCTAAACAGAAACCCTTTTGTAGCCCTCCCTGTCCAGGAGAGTCCAGTGGATAGGAAAACAACCCAAAGCTGGAGCTTGCTTCACTGCCAAGCTGCAGGTTCCAAGCTGCAGTTCTGATAGTTTACCAGATGGATCCACTGCACACAGAACCAAAGCCAGCTGTTTTCACTCCATGGTCTCCTAACAGCCATCATGCTGGCTGTTAGGCAATCACTAGAATGAACCATGGTCTACATAAGAAGACACCATTCATAGGACTGTCTGCTTCTCATTTTCTTTAGCACAATTTCTTGTTCATGCTAGAGCAGTGGTGGGAAACTTTCAGCCCAAAGGCCCAATTAGGCCTGGCATGGGTCCCAAAGCTGTTCCCCCGAAACCACAACTACAATCCAACTTCTGTTTCCTATCATTGCAAGGATTTCCACTTGAGAAATAGAACCTTCCCCCTCTCCTGAACACCCTCCCAATATCTGCTCAGGAGCCTTAAAGGAACCCCTGGAACAGATTTAAGTGGTGCATAGGGAAAGGACGGGGGAAGTTGCATTGCACAAGTGGAAATGGATGTGCTGATGGGATGTATTAGTTGGCTATCACCCTTGATATTATATAGGGCATTAGCTGAGGAACAGGTATAGGTGTGATTACAAACTTGCAGCTATAGTAGCTAGAGGCTCCACCCATGGCAGGGGAGAGCATTCAAGTTCACAACTCACTTTTGCACCTCACTGATTATGCAACCTACACAATTGGCCAAAAGTATGAAGCCGATCCTTTTAGGAAGTTCTAACTCCCAATCCAGAATAGGTTTTTGTGAGTCCCCACAGAGCAGGAACTGTACTATCACCCGAATTCTACTTTAGAGACCTTCTGCTTCCATGCATGTCATTTAAAGACCCATGTTTAAAGACCCTGTGTAACAAAAATTGTATGGAAACCTGCTGTTACAAATGCATGAATTAAGGTGCCCCAACTCCATATATGTCCACATTCATAAATACAACAAAATCCTGAATTCTAACTACAGAAGAGGGAATTAATATGTCTTAATTATAAGGGGGCAAGGTTGAGGGATTCAGCAGGATACAGTTTGAGTTATCTAGTATCTCATTTATTCCTCATTTGTTGTATTCCACAGTCATCAGCAAGATGATTTTCTTCTTGATAAGAATTAACTGCTGCCTGCAATGGTTTGTATAGGTCATCTTGATAAATTGGCCAATGTGAGGAAGTAGCAAAGTTAACTCTCCCAGATAAAAATAGCTCTGAACTCCTTATCCTCTGTTATTGCTGATGCCTTTCCTTTTCCTCTGATGCAATCAAATCAACATTGCATGAAAAATCTAAAAATAAAGTCCCTTTTATATAAAAATCAAGTGTGAGATGCTCATGGTCCCTTAGCAACCTGCTAAAAGCTAACCAGAGACTCTTGTTATCAGCAAAAAAGAAATTCCACATCAATGTGGTAGAAGCACAAAGTTATAAACAACTCAGCTTACTCTCCATTAAGTATGAAGTATTGCATCTCCAATCTACCATCATTCAGCAGGCACAAGCCTTATCTGGCATGCAGTACATGAGTGTCACAGAGCACATGAGACACCAGTTATTAGCAACCAGTGGTTAAGAAGCTCAACCACCTCTCTGTCTTTTACACTGTCATGGAAGGCACAGAGGATGCACACCAAGCAGGCAGCTAAACAAAAGCTTTATTGTGTCCTTATATAAGAACAGAACTGCTCAAGAAACCTCTGACTCAACTTGTACAACTAAGTCCACTGCCACTTAGTGGATAAACTTTAGAGAATAACACCATCTACACACAACTCTTTGGACAATTTTTCAGTAAAACTCACAGGATTATTTTGGAGAAGGTTTCTTCCTCTCAGCCTAACCCACCTGACAGGGTTATTGTATGGCTAAATGTCACCTTGAACTCCTTAGAGGAAGGCCTGCATTCAAATTAGATATTATATTTTAAGGCATGAACTGCAAACTGCAATAGGGGCACAAACATGATTCTCCCCATTGGAGAAATCATTTAATTTCCCCATGGTTTATTTCTAATGGATCAACTTATGCGAGGATCAATTTACCTGACTAAGAGAAGAAACATCTCCCTTAAATTGACAAAGGCATATTTTGTTGAACAGAGCACTGGGAATGAATAAATGGTTGTTGACCTTCTCTGTATCCTAATACCACCAAAGTGAGTCCTCTGTTGAGTTTCAAGAAAGAAGAAATGATTCTAGGAATGAAAACATCTCAGAATTCTTGGCAGAAAAGAAACTCTTGTGTATCTATGGGAAGCCAATGGGAATGCAACAAACCACATCATCATGGAGCGTATTTACTTAGTATTTGTATTGTTACACTCACTCCATTTCTCAGTTCCAGGGGGTCCAGCACTTATCCAAGTTTTGGGGTTTTTTGGAAAATGATAACTGGAGCCTCATGGTGTTTTGTAATGTTTGTGTTTCTTGTCAGTTATACATATTGATGAGCATAGGTGGAGACACAACTCGAAACATTGCAATGGATAGCAGCCAAATAAACTGCAACTGCATTTGATCTCCACAGAAGTCTAATGTTAGCTTACAGAGCTCCAAATGCTCAGCTTTGTCTCTCTCCAGAAACTGTAGTCAGTCTTCCCCCAAATGCTTCTATTGCTTCGACGCGGGTGGCGCTGTGGGTTAAACCACAGAGCCTAGGACTTGCCAATCAGAAGGTCGGCAGTTCAAATCCCCGCGACGGGGTGAGCTCCCGTTGCTTGGTCCCTGCTCCTGCCAACCTAGCAGTTCAAAAGCACATCAAAGTGCAAGTAGATAAATAGGTACCGCTCCGGCGGGAAGGTAAACGGCATTTCCGTGCACTGCTTTGGTTCACCAGAAGCGGCTTAGTCATGCTGGCCACATGACCCAGAAACTGTATGCCGGCTCCCTCGGCCAATAAAGCGAGATGAGCGCTGCAACCCCAGAGTCGGTCATGACCGGACCTAATGGTCAGGGGTCCCTTTACCTTTTACTCAGACTTGCCTCTCCCTTGGACTGGAGAGAGAGGAGAAAAAGGATGAGTCATCTTCACCAACCTTCTCCTAGCCTAGGGCCATTAGTATAATTTCCCTAACAGAAGATGTGCCAGAAGGGACTATCAAAGTCATTCTGGCTTCAGTAAGCCACTTTTGTCCAAATTTACATTTTATACAACATAAAATTGTTGAAATAACACAGGTGTAGCTCCTATTCTTCTCTCCTTCATCTGTGGAGGTGGACCAACCCATAGGATTCTGCAAACAAATGAGGCATGCAAAGCACAAGACTTTCAACAAGCAATTGTTGAAAGTTTATTAAAGGTGCTCTTTTAATATCCTCACTTAAAGAACATTGCTTAAGAAGATGTCTATTGGCAGAATACAATAAAATGGAAACAGCATTTGCACAATATTTTAAGACAACAGTACATATTAATTTTAGAAAGTTTGAATTTATGAGGTTAGGTATATCGTTGCCAATGGCTATTAGGCAAGGCAAATGAAGGCATGGAGACTCATACTAAGACAGAGTCTCCTAAAACCTGAAAACTGCTGAAAGACAATCACACTCAACAGGAAACTCGACTTGGAAAGATTGGATGAAAGATTGGAAATATTGTTCATCATCCTAATTGTCCCTATGACTATTAACCTGATTTTGGCGAAATAAGAATTCCTAGATAGCGTTGCAGAATGAAGAATGTCTAGCTCATACAGATAGTGAGCTAGAAGTAGTGATGTGCCTTTTGGGTGAAGTTTATCCATTTCTCCACAACAGCATGGGATAAGGGCTGTGTGCAGCCACCACCAGCCTCCACAGCCCAGAAAATGCCAGCCTCACTCTGTATCTGGCCCTGGATTAGTTTTGGGGTAGGCCTAAAGTTTAATTAGCTTTTTAAAAAAATAAAAATAAAAAGCAAATTAAACATACAGTTGGGAATGGGCAAAAGAAGGAGGTGCTGCATCTCCACCCCATCCCAATCAAGATCACAGGGGTTCTGTGGGGTGCTTTTCTGCAAGCTTCTTCCTTTCAGGGAAGGCACTTGGAAAAAAGCAGCGCACCTCTTCCTGCACACTCCTTCTTCCTGCACACCCTTCTTTCCCATCCTTCTTCTCACCCTTCCTTCCCATCCTTACCTCCTTCCCATTTCATGTCCTGGACTGCTCTGAGCAGCTGGATCTGACCAGGGGTGATCCAAGGTGGTTCTGAACATCTGGCTTGAGTGAAACCTCGATTCCTACAAATCAGCCCAATTTGATTTGGGCTTCAGCTGAATCCAGTGCACAGCCTTCGCATGGGACACTACAAATAGCAGGGGTGAGAAATAACTGGTGAACACCATGCATTTCCTTCTGGCTACTACAGAGAAAGTAGGAACAGGACATAGACCTTAATCTATCCTTCCAGGGTATATCAAGTCTGAAGGCAGAATGGTGGTATTCTGTGGCCATCTCCAATATTTCTAAGGCTGCAGAAAACAAGGAGTGATGTACCATGAGACAGGCCATTATGATGTAGCACTGCAGGCAGAGTCACTCATATGTCATAATTGACATAATTGACATAATTGTGGACCCAAGTCAAGCTTATCTTCAATGCAACACCCCAAGCAGATCATCACCAGCTGATCTAGAAAGGCATCTTGCTCCACCTGGAGCAGAAATCTGCCACACAGATGTAAGAGAAGGAGAAGATGTCAAGATTCCGACGATATCACAGACATCGCAGCAAGAAAGGTGGTTGCCGTAAAGGAAAAGGACGTGGTAGGAAGCGAGGCAGGACAAAAAAAGGTGGTCGTGGAGGCAAAAAGAGAACAGGTGATAGTTTAGTAGTTATCTTACATTCTGTACTGTAGTATGTATCCGTCTGGAAGGGAATAACATGTTGATGACATGCACATTCCTTTAGAACTCTGCCAATTCTCTTTCAATCCAAGAGATGACTTTATGTCAAATGGTCTTCTGTCAACCAGTAAAGGAGGGGTAAGCCAATTGGGTGCCCTCTGGTACCTCAGCCCCTATCAACTGCAGTCAGCATGGCCCATGATCTGGGATGATGGGAGTTGTAGTCAGTGGCAGAGCAAGCCAGTTGGGTGCCTGGGGAGGCGTGCATGCCCTGCACCCAGGGACAGGGCCAGCCACGCACACGGGGCGGTGTGGGGCAAGCCGGGGCAGGACGCTCCGCAGGGCCTCTGAGGAGTCTGCCTGCCTCCTCCCACTCAGCTGCCCTACAGCTGAGGGGGGCGGTGGCGGGCGAACTGTTTGCAGGCCCTGCGGTGAGTGCCGCCCGGCATTTTGCCACCCCCCTCAGTGGTGACATCCGGGACAACCCGCCCCCACCACACCCGTTCCTCCGCCCCTGGTTGTAGCCCAACCACTTCTGGAGGACACCATGTTTGCTACCCTTGCAAGTAGAGTGTTTCAGATGAAAACAAGAAATGTGTTACATGTGACACATGCACCTTCATAGGATTAGAATCAAATATTTAGGGAGGAAACAAGGAACAGGTGAAACTTGTTTAGCTCTTCTCCACCGTCTTTCTGCCCACTAGCTTGAAATTCGGTGACTTTTTTTATATTTGTGCAGACACATCTGCTCTAAAGTCTTATGCAGACACATAATGGGGTTTTGGGTGGGGGTGTGTGTTAGCTGTGACGTTCCTGTACACCTATGGGGTTTGCAGTGGGTAGCCCATTGCTGCCTCCTGGGGAAAAAGTTTCTATGTGAAATCTGTGTGTATGTTTGTGCATGTTACCTGCTTACCATATTACCCTAACCTTTGAAAAAACCATGATCATATTGTTTATTAACTGAAACAAACAAACAAGCTGATCATTCCCATCATTAAAGGAGGTTCCATGGTTAATTTTGCTCAGGAAACTGTGTAGCTTCCCTCTCCTCCTCAGTGTTAGTCACGCATGATCTTGCTAGGCTATCTTAGTTCAGCCGTCCCAAACCTGGTGCATGCAAGTTGTAGCCACCAAAATAACATGAAAATCTGGAAGGCAGCAAGTTTAGTGAGACTGTTCTAGGGCACCCAGCAACTTCCTTATTCATTGCCTTCTGGGGCTTGGCTACACTCCTACTGCTGCTAAGGGTACCCATGTTTTGGGGGCCTGGAGGATGCTAAGATGGTTAGATGTCTAAAAGTGACCCAGCTGGCACCAGCACGCAGTGTAATTGTGCAAATCCTGAGGCCCTAGCAGAGACCGTCATTGGTGTCAGTGGGCTTGGTAAAGCCTCAACGCAGAGGGGAATGTAAGATCTGAACAGCTGGGGTTATTCTTGCCATCATTTTACCTCTTTTAGAATTGCTCGAATGTTTGCTTTGTATGACATTGATGTACAAAACATGGAGGTTGATAGAAGTGACTAGAAGAGTGCTTTGTACAAAGGGCTGCTCTTTCCCATGCTCAGCTTGCCCAGGGTGCAGGATTTCAGTGCCTAAAGACATAATGATGCACATATATCTCTACTGGTTATGGCACTGTCCATCCCCACAACACAAAGTGGCACAGTCCATTCTACCAATTTATCCAATTGGTACCCTTGGGCATATAGTTTTGATTCACCAGGAGACACCCACTAATGGTGAAAGAGGGGTGGTGATTTTTGCCATTTCCCCTTCCTTCCTCTAGCCCCTAGAGCCCTTAAAATCTGTTCTGGAGCTTCTCCTCTCCATCTAAGTTGCCTCCCCTTCTCTTCTATTAGTAGGGGAGCACTAGGATGAGTTTTTGGATTCCACCACAGGCCTCTGTATATGTCTGTTGAGTTGAGATTGTGCTGGAGGAGTTGTGTGGTGATGGCTTTGACATGTTCACTTAAAGATGTGGTAAATCAGGTTGCTGAGTGTAAAAAACATCTAGATATGACCATAAAAAGAAATCACCATCAACTACAAATGAAGCATTTGATTTGATAAGTTTTTGAGACAGATTTCTTACATCCATGCTCTTTAACTACTTAAATTGTAGTTAAACTATAAAGTTTTCAGTGACAAAGCATGCATTTTTGCTAAAATTGCTGTTACCTGTCTCCTGATCATATTATGGAAGGGAGGGAGGGAGGGAGGATCACTTTATGAGCATTGCAATATGGATGTTTATTTTATTTATATATTTATATGCTGTCTTTCTGAATTAGGTCCACCCAACGTAGCCAATAAGAGATAAGCATAGAAATAAAATAAAGTCGTCTTTATTTTATTGATTTACATTTTTTAAAAATGCTCCACTTTTCCCCTCCAAGAAAAAGTTATTCAAAGTGGCTTTATCAAAATATAAACAGGAACACAAAAATAAGAATAATTCATCATAAAAAACATGGTTTTCTGACTAAAAGCAACATCATGGAACAAGGAGACAAAAGAGCCAATACCAACAATTAGCCAGTTATATGCAGCAAAAAAACCAGCCAGCAGAATACAAAAAAGGAGGCTGATTGCCACTTCTTAGGTGGGATGCTACCACAGAGAAAGCCCTCACTTGTGCCACCACCATATGTGCCTCAGAAGGCAGCAACACATGCAATAAGGATGCAGCAGATGATCTTAAGGCACATTCACATAGGAAGAGATGGTTCTTTTAGTACCTTGGTTCCAAGCTTTCCAGAGGCCAGAACCAGCACTTTGAATTGCGCCCAGAAACGAACTGGCAGCCAATGCAGTCCAGAAAATATATGTTTCCTGTGATCCCAGCAATTTGCCCCAGAAGAAGCATCCTGTGCCAACTGATGTTTCCCAGTGGTTTTCAAAGGCAGCCCCACATAAGATGCACGGCAGCAGCCCAATCAAAAAGTAACAACTAATGCACGTAGGACCAGGGTGCATTCTGATCATATCAAGACAAGCAGGGGAATTTCAAAATTTTAAAAAATGTAAGAAACCAAAAATACATTAAAATCAGGGGTGGTTTTTTTGTTCAATCAGAACTCACTGGAACTCAGTACCAGCACCTCTCAGGTGGGCACCATTGCCATTATAAGAGAACAAGGGAGGCATTCATGTTGAGTTCTGGCACCTCTTTTCCTAGAAAAATAGCACTAATTAAAATAAAATTCTGCTGGTATCTCCGCAGCAATAAAACACCAACAAAATGGCGGCATGATTAATAAACTAAGTTGAAAGTGATGAGAAGTTGGTTGGTTTTCAAAGCTTTCTTAAATCCTGCTATTGAGAGTGCCATCTTGGGGGAGAGTTCCATAAGGAAGAGGCCACTACTGATAAGACTCTGTAAATTAACATGGGCTGTTTTTTTTTCTTTGAAAAAAAAAAAAAGAATGGTGGATCAGGACCATGAATGTACTGACGTTTCTCATTGTTCTTTCTTGCCTTCAAGGCCGTCACCACTACAGGAGGTGTGTGCTATACTAACTGGACCGGTTTGGAACAAAGGAGTCCTAGCAATGTAATCACTGACTGAGCAGAACTGACATCTTTCTCCAAACAAGTCATCAGCGTACAGGGTCAGGAAATGTTAGAAAACGTTTCCAATTAAACCTACCTGGGCTGGAATTTCTGCAGCATCTTTATGTGTTACTTATAAGTCTTTTCCTTATCTTTGTAAGTGATTTTAGGAGTCATGTGCCTGCTCTGACCCAGTGGAGCTGTTTTATGGCGTTTTGACAGATCCATGCCGTAATTAGAGCCACAATCTCCAAATTTACCTAACTCGCAGTTTCTGAAATAATGCACAAACCAAAACACAGCCATCGTTTAAATTTACACTTAGAATTTTGCAATGCAGTTCTCCAGCCAAGTAATGTGTGTGCATGAAGAATGCATTTATTAGTGAAAATAACGTGCAAACTGTATTCTATTATGGGAAATTGTTTGTAGAAATGTAGTATATATTAGGCATACAAATTATGGACAAACATGGTTACAATAAGAAATCGTCACACCAAAATGCTGCTGAATTTTCAGGAGAACTTTTTTTAAAAGTTGGCAAACTGTAGTGGAAATGTGAAGAACTGAAGAGTGGGAAAATTAGAAACTGAGAGAAACCAAAACTGGCAGATCCACACATCCCTAAAGCTAACAACCCTGCCTCTCATGTTTTGTTAACATAGTATCAGAACACTTGAGGAGGGCTAGTGTCCCACCAAAAGCTATGAATCTTGAGTTAGTCACAACCACTAGTTTCATTGGTTCCAAAAGACAGTCATGACCAATGCTATATGAGCAAGAGGGGAATCCCAACCCCTAAAGCATCTGAGCCCCAGCAGCTTAGACAGCTATGCAAAGAAAGAGTAATCACTACCCTTTTATTTGTTAATTTGTTGTTTTGAAGCATCATCTAAAACCGCAACAGGAGCACAGTCATGGAGGATAAGGGTCTTGGGAAAGGAGGCATCACTCTGAGACAGGGCTAGTCTAAGAAATTTTGGCCCCCGAGCAAACCTCAAAATGGCAGCTCTCTCTCAGTCAGGGAAGAAGAAGTGAGTAAAGATCTACATCAAGGAAAAGGGAAGAAAGATCTATATTGGCATCTGCTGCCCCTGCAGATCCTGCCACCTGAGGCAGTCGCCTCACCTTGTCTCATGAGAGGGCCAATCCTACTCTGAGGAAGAGGGAAATGAGCCTTAGAAGCAAATCATTTGTTGGGGGATGAACTGATATCCTCTTGTGCCTCCAGTGGGCAGGGTAGTGGGTGGTTTCTGGTAGTGGGTGATTTGATCATTATGGATATAGCTACCCAGCTTTATAATGGGAGGCATCCCTGGATTTAATCTTAAGAGGTACCCACAACATTGTGTGAGAAGCATGTGCTGCTGATCTGATTGAGAACAGTTACCACAGTGCTATCAAATTCAACATATATGTAAGTTGGGAATTGCTGAGAAGGTTCAGCATGGTCACATTTCACTTCAAAAGAGGAAACTTTCCCCGTATTGGAAGACTGGTTAAAAAGGAACTTGTAAAGGGAAAGAACAACTAAAATGATTGACTCCCACATATAGAAAGGTTACAACATTTAGGGCTCTTAAGTTTAGGGGGGGGAAGGGAGAGGAGAACATGCTAGAGGTGTATAAAATGCTTCAGTGTATTGAAAAAGTGGACACAGATGTTTTTCCACTCTTGCTCATAAAACTAGAACCCAGGGTCATCCAATGAAGTTGAATTTGGGAAGATTCAGGATGGACAAGAAAAAATTAAGCAGTGGAACTAACTCCCATTAGAGGGAGTGATGGCCACCAAAGTGCACGGCTTAAAAAGAGGTTTAAAAGGGTTTATCAATGGCCCCTAGCCATGGTGGCTGTGTACTACCTCGGAATACCCGTTTCTGAAGAACACAATTCAGGAAGTGCTGTTGTGCTTATGTCCCGCTTGTGGGCTTTGTCTTCCCATAGGGATCTAGTTGGCCATTGTGAGAACAGGATGCTGGACTAGATAGGCCTTCAGCCTGAGCAAGCAGCTAGATTGGGTTGACAGTGTTGTGTCCTGATATGAACTCCATTTCCAGGTTGTTAATGCTCTGCTTAGTACATCATTAAATGGTTAGTAATTAGTAACCTTATCATAATCTCTCTAATACAACGGCCAGCTTGTTTGCGCAAATGTTTCACAACTCTTTTAATCTTAACCATAGTCTCAGCTTTATCAGGGCATTCTATCTTTTTGCTTGTTTGCTTTGTTGTTCTGACTGTAGAAACATCCACCTATTCATGGATTTTCACAAAAGGGACCTGTTTTCAACTTGGTTATTGGACCTCTGCCCCCTTTGAATGCTGAATTCTACCAGTACAGACTTAGCTTTTCAGTTTTTCCCCTCTTTGCTTTTTAGATTTCCAAATTAGCCTTAAAACAACTACTACATTATCCTCAAAAAGCACTCTAGGAATCAAGAAGTGGGAGCATGCATTGTCTGTAGACAACTCAAGAAATGGAATGCTCCAGAGAGGAAGAGAGAGAGAGAGAGAGAGAGAGAGAGAGAGAGAGAGAGAGAGAGAGATTTGGCTGAATAATATTAGCCTTATTCAGAACTTATAAACAAGTCCTGCCCCCCCTCCTAACAAAGTCCTGCCCCCTAACAAAAATCCTGGCTATGCCCATGAGATGTTTCAGTCTGCCAATTAAGCCATGTTCTCTGGAGTATTCCTACTGATGTCTATAGGGCTTCATTCAGGAGGTAAACGGTTTTGAGCACTGACGTCCAATACATGCTTTCACAGTTCATTTTTCATATAAAGGTCTTTGCCCATCAGCTGCTTAAGTGGTGAAGGATGGGGTTGAATCTGTTTCCTCCACTCTGTGCAACTCATAAACCATAGTCACAGAATCATTTATGCCACAAGAGCATTGAAGTGGCATTGAGGAAGGCAGGGCAGCTTCGATTCCATCCCTGTCAGCCACACATTTGACTGAATTTTTCAGCGATCTGCTCGCACTTTCCTTGGCATGTGTGGGCCCATTTGGATGCCAGAGATGTTCCCCCTACTTTCCTATCAATATCACTTCATTAATTACCTACCGTACTCAGCCAAATCCACCCTATGATGGATGACATGGGCAGAGCCTCTCAGAGACTTTGTGCTGGTGGTTGCACATTGTAAACACTGCCGGGCTGATGACAGTCGTCACACAGGCCCATGACTCAGCAACTCCCTTTGTGCGATCTAAATCCAGCCAGAAGCTGATCTCAGCTCTTGTGTGGGGTTCAGACTCCGATAGCCAGCTTGCAGGGATTCCTTGAGAACATGTTTAGTTTGCAAGACAGGCAAGGCCCACACCTGCTTTTTCCCCAGTTTGAAGTGGGACAAGGTGAAAGTGGTTTGTAATTCGAATATGGAGCAGTAACAACAGAGACCTACCTCCCAGATGCTCAAGTTGGCAAATAAGGTAGCCTGTCTGACCGGGCAGGTTAAATATGGGCCTGGGGACTGGAAATCATAACTGATCCACTCTGGCCTATGGTTGTTGAGGCTTCCTTGCTGATGAGCATAATCTTTATGCAATTCCTTACTTTCTCCAGAAATGGGTGGTATTTCAGAGGGAGGATTCCTGCTGGACATCCCCCAGGTTCAGGGTGCAGTGCTGGGTTGAGTCCTGACAGGCAGGCACGATTGTAACAAAGGTAAAGCCCTGACTTCCTGACTGGTAGCTTCATCAACAACACTTTGCCTTAAGCAGGTTACTAGAATTCTCAAGTGATTTGCAGAATGTAATAGATTTTGTATGCTCTCACAGAGCCCCTGTCCAATCCTCTGTGCAGTCTCAGAATGCCTCAGAATAGCAGCATCTTCAACAGACATGCTGCTAAGTTCATTTTGTAGCTCCAAAACATCTGTTGACATTTTCCTCTAGACATCCTTTCCTTGGGGACACAATCCAAATTCAGTCTATGAGAGGGAAAGAAAAGTGGTATCCTGATGGCAACCACTTGCCTTTGAAAGGTGATGGTCTTGCAGGCATGCCCTTGGATCCAATATAAGCCTGAAAGGCTAATTCTAGATTGGCAGGATCTGATGAAGGTGTCACATTGGCATGTTAATAGGGGATACCATGGCTGATGCTCTGCTTCTTATACCACTATTGATTCTGGAGCTATAGGAATTTGTGGTTTCCCTCCCGGCTCATTATCGGCTCATCAGCTGAGAATGACATCAGAGATCTCTTATTTAAAGGCTTCCTCTTTTCTGAGTTTTCAAATTATACTTGTTTTGCCTTCTGTCCACCCACACTTTTGCAGTGCTATTTTGGAATTGGAGTGTGGGGGCAGTAAAGACATTGCCTTGGCACATATGTCATGTTCCCTTCCCTTTCTCTTCCTTTCCTGTACATCATGCATCACAATGCCTCACCCATGACAGGTTGTTTGCATGGGATAGCTCAGTCAGTAGAGCACAAGACTCTTCATCTCAGGGTCAAGGGTTTGAGCCCCACACTGGGTGAAAGATTCCTGCACTGTGGGGGATTGGACTAGATGACCATCGTTGTCCCTTCCAGCTCTGTAATTCTATGATTCTATGTGATTCTTATTTACAAACACAGAGTTCCATGTGGATGAGGATGATGAGGTGGGTAGCAGATGTTCCACCAGCAGAAATGAAAGTGGTACACAAGCAAAGTCACCTATCAGATGGGATGACTGCCCACCATAGAGTCCCTTTCTGAGCTGCTACTTTCCCCTCCAAAACCTCTATATATTTCATGCTGTGCTGAACCCTAGTGTCACCCACCCTGGGGAAGAACCTTCACCCCCTGAAAAAGATGTTTTCTCTTTTTCATGCAATGATTAGGAGAACTTAACATTATATTTTATTATGGGAGTTCCATTGTGCAAGAGTAAATCCTTGAGCTGATGGAACAAGTTACTTAGCACTACATTAGATGCAACCCAGAGACTTATGGACATCTTCCAATAGAGCAGCTAACCATAAATGACACCCACACAGGTGAAGAAAAGCAGGACATGCCAGTGCAAAACTGGCACACTACATTCATAGTACATTTTATTTTATTTTATTTATTACAAATGGTTTAAGAATTTCAGTGCAAGAGGGTTTGGCTCTGAATACACAGAGGCACTAAGAATG